CATTCTAATGATAAGCTGCGCGCAAACCAGACTTACGCGTGTGAATAAAATAGAGTTAGAATAATGGGAATGAACGCGAAGCTTTCTAATTATGCCAGCCAGTAAAATACAGAGATTTCAAATATTATAAATAAAATGTATACAAGTGTTGTAATGTCCGATGTAATAGCCACATGTCGAGTTGAATTTATTTTAATTTATAATGTGAACTATTCCAGTTCATGGATGCCAATGAAATTTGAGAACAACTGAAATGTACAAGTAAGTCAGACTCTTTTAAATGAATGTATCAAGTATACACATGAATTATTTGCCCCAACACATTGGTTTGATCTTTATTCTATGTTGCGACTGATATGTTTGTGTGGGCTTGATCGGCACAGTCGTAGAATAATAAATAGATTTTCTTGGATTAAAACAGTTTGCGAGCAGGGGTACAGACACGTATAACTGCATGCATTTTAAAAGGGCGTACACCCTCCCCCAGGTCTCTTGGCTGACAGTTTTTTTTTTACAAACCTACCCCTTGGAAGCTTAAAAATTACGACCGCATGGATTCACATCATCTGTGGGGAGTGTGGATAATATGAAAAAAAAATTAATCAAAAATATGACCCCCCTCGGAATTAAATCATCTGTAGGGGTGTGGATATAGAAAAAAAATAGTCAAAAAATGACACCTCTCGAAATTTAACCATCCATACTTTTTGTAGAAATATGACCCCTCGGATTTAAACCATCCGTGGGGGGGGGGGGACAAAAACTGGAATGACCCGTTGCAAGCGACTGTGACCCATCTTTCATGATTTGATGTGTGCACACTGCCGCCAGCAGTGTGATAGGTCATCTAGCGAGAGTCCATACCATACACTGTCATCAGGCAAGACATGATTCAAGTAAAGACAATAATTTCCTTACCTGCTGGGTACTGAAATCAAAACCTACGTAAACGTCCTTTTTCTCTGCCATTGTAATGTTGTCGAATGTGAAAACACCCGCTGACCTAGGTCAAAGGTCACAGAGACACCGACAAACCTTATTTTTGAACTGAATTATGTACAAGACGTACTCAAAACAATGTTGTCGATAGTACAAACACTGTGTTTTCAATAAACAATATTACATTTGAAATGTTATGCCAATATATTTGTATATATTTAAATTTACCAATTTATAGCGCCACCAACGTAGTAAACTTTAAAACTATTGTATTTTTTTCATAAGATGTGTTTGATGTTCCTGAATTAGACTGTCTACAGAAGATCTTGAATTGTTCGAGTTACGAACACGTCTATATTTTAGAAACCACGCCCACTTTTGTGAAACCACGCCCACATTGTCACTCGCCGGTGTTCAATTAACAGTTAACAGAACGATTAT